CTTGGTGACCAACGGATCGTGACCTCAGAATCTCTCACACACGTCTGGTGTTTAGTTCTCAGTTGGTCGCCTAATGAGAGAGGAAATCTACATCACTGGTGTCTGACAGTGAGAAAGAGTTATCGCTCTCTGTTCTTTGCCGCACTCTTTCAGAGCCTACCGGTGCCTGTGGAGGAGAACTCAACGATGAAGGGCGGCCGGCTGAAGCGACTGTAGCTACCGTAGGGAATGTCCTCGTAGGTGTAGGATCTACCCACGGACACTATCCCCACCCTGCAGAGGAAAGATAGTACTTAACCACATCTCTCACTTCCTGTAAACATATTGCTTTTGAAGTAGTCTTCAAAAAGCGGTTAAAGTTCATCAACTCTTTCTTGTAGTCAGCTATTCACAGCATTGCTGGAGCATTTTCACAAGTTGTTTATCATCGTCGTTTATCGGTCCTGTGACCACTCGGGAGCAGCTTGACCGGTCCTGAATGTGTGAATGGATGAATGTAATGTGCAGATGTGTCATGTTTGCTGTTTTTGCCCAAATTTACGTATAATTACCAAAGCAAGACTGTATTAATAAATACAGCTGGACCAAAACGTACTCTGTATTCACCAGTATTCTTTGCAGAAATTAGATTTCATGATGTGTTTGGTGTTTTTAAAATGGGCTATTTATACAGTAGATAGTATGCTGGGCTATGCTGTATATTGTGCATGTTGTGCAATTATGTGACATTCCATATAAAATGGGAATTTCAAATGCATTTACATTTTTTACAACACATCTGCAAGTCATTTGCATTAAAAAAGGAACAGCGTGTAGGATTTTGGGGGATCTATTGGCAGAGTGATGTTTGTTGCATGTTTTCATCACCTGAAACTACGAATCGTTGAGTTTCTGTTGGTTTAGAATGAGTCTTTCATAGCTACATAGAGAGTGTGTCTTCTTCACGGAGTCCTCCGTGTTTCTACAGTAGCCCAGAATGGACAAACCAAACGCTGGCTTTTTGTGTTACTTGAAGGCGCCTGTAGTTTTCCGACATCCTTGTAAAAGGAGGGATGAGCGAAGAGGCGTTGAGTTGGTTTGAATCTGCAACCTCACCACTAGATGCTCCTAAATCCTGCACACTGGCCCTTTAAATGCCTTTGTTGAGAAATTGCATTTGATGGCATGAAAAGCTGTCAAAAGTGTAGAGTTTTCTAGCACAGCATGTGACACATGATCACCCATATTTACCTTAAACTCTGATCTGCTAATATCTGTACTGAACCATCTTTCATAACAACCAGTGGTGGGGAGTAACCGTGTTATGTGGATTATGTTGTGGAACAATCTGTGGATTAATCTGTGGACTCTTTGAGTGTGTCGAGATAAACAGCGATACTTTTAGGAAGAAAGGAAGTTGTTTCACCAACTTGTACGAGGGAAATTGGATCAATAAAACCTGTTTTGCTTTCACCTACGAGCAGTGTGTGAGCTATGTGCATAGGACCAGAAACACGCGTCAACTTAAGGTTTACATTCTGCTGCAAGTTTTGGACGCTATACACATGTACTATTTTGAGTTACTTGTACTTGAGTGTTTCCATTTCCTGTTACTAAATACGTCCGCCCCACTACATCTTAGAGGCAAATATTTACAATGAAGGTTTACTTCAGTTACTTTACTTAAGGTTACTTTTCAGATTGTGCTTTCACATAAAACATGTAACATACATTATAACATGACACATTGGTACAGATTAAACTGTCCAACAGTATATCAATTAGTTCAAATTGGCTCCACCAAGACCAGCTAACAATAATAATCTAGCATTGTAATCTATTACTCTGACAGGGCTCAGTCTGCTGCATTATGTGGTTATACTTGTGATACTTTATGTTTTTCTGATAATACTTATGTATTCGATGTTGAATGCTTGTAGTTGAGTATTTGAATTGTAATGTTGGCTACTTTTACACAAGTAGTTTTCTGGCACTAATCGCTGACAATAAGGACAAGACACTGTGCAGATCTGAAGTATAACTTTAAAAGATAAATAGTTTGTTGTCTGTGACTGTTTTTGCCTCTCTCTGTTTACCTGTAGAGGAAGAGATATCTCTCCTTGTGTGAAGTATCACCCAGAGGCTCGCTGTAGATGTACTTGTACCGGAACTTACAACGACTGCGAAAACACACACAAACACACACAGATGTAGAGCATCATTTAGTTTGTCTCAAATCATAATGTGAGTTCATGAGCTGTCCAACTTAACTTCTACAGAAGGTCACTGTATTCTGTGTGTAGTAATATTAGCATTATATAAGGTGTGTGGTTAGTCTAACTTGCTGACGGCCGTCATGAGTCTTTTGGTCACTTCCTGATCCGGGTCTCTGACCTCCTGGATCAGAATGATGTCGTAGCGACAGACAATCTGAGAAACAGAAAACAACACATATCTGATTAGAGTTCTTGCGGCAGTGCCGTCTTATTGTTGGAATGCTGTTAAGCATTCCAACTATTGTTCTTCGAATCTTTATTCCTCCTTATTTTATATTTCTTCCGTACGCTTTTTGCTACTTAACGCCTTCCACACTTTTTAAGCTACAGAAACCGTTCAACTATCAAAATGTTCAGCTCTTTCAGCTCGTGGCTGCTATAGCTATCTCTTCATATTTCTAATCTTTAAACTTTTTGAATTATTAAGCTTTTTGCAATTATTATTTTGAATGGGATGTCTATGGAGAACATTTTCAAATCCTCTTAAACTTCTTCAACTTTCAAATCCTTCTACTTCCTCATACTTTCAGCTACAGGCACCATTTCAACTTTAAAATGTTGAGAAAACCCTGAGCTATTACAGAATGATTCAGCTTTTGATGTCTTTTACACTTTTTGAACTGCAGCAATTTAACTTTTATGATTTTTTCAGCCCTTTTCTGACTTTATAATGGGTGTGTATTGCGCAGCTTAGAGTGCGTGATGTCACCGCTAGAGTGAAGAGCAGCTTGAGATTCTTGTGAAAAAAACATTTGTCTTTTGCCACTGTGTCCACAATCTTCACTCTTCATGCATCATTTTTGATGGAGAAGTAGCTAATCTTGTCCTTGTCGTAGACAGATGTCTGTGGAATCCCACAGCTTTACACATTTGGCTCAAGGAGCCGCAGAGCGACATGAACTCCAACAAACTGCTCCATTAGACTCCATGTTAAATCTGACCACTCATTTCTCAAAGAAAGCAGACGGTACCAGTTTTGTCTATTGCTCTGGAGCTCACATTATTAACACCACAAACATAAAAGACACATTACCGCGTTCGGCAGAGTCTTATCTTTCTCACGGTATCCATAATTTGGCACTCAGACTCCTGCTTTTTGTTAAAAGGGGCTTTGTTCAAAATCACTGTTTACTGTAATGTTTCTTAATCAGTCTGCCTCTAACACCAGGTGCGTCGTCACCGTGGCAACCAGTTACACACAGGCATGCAGGCTCTCTCTCTCTCTCATACAGTCATTCAGGTCTTACAGATTTTAAGAGGACTTTCCACCCCCCCACCCCATTTCAAAATAAAAGCCCCAGAGAGTGAACTCTACCTGAAATGCTTGTGATGAAGCCTGTCATTTAATAACCTCTTTTTATGTGTGTCAAACATTATGATTATGTCTCTTCTCCCCCACCCAGTTCCTACTGCTACTACTACTGCTATTCATGCTACTACAAGTAGTAGTACTACTACTACTGCTACTTCTTCTACTGCCATTACTATTACTACTATAACTACTTCTACTACTACTACTGTTATATTAAATACTACGACCAATACTACAGCTATTACGACTACTGATACTACTACTTCTACTACTTCTAATTACTAATACTTCTCCTACTACCAATACTTCTTCTATCACTACAGGACTTTTCCCTTTCAAAATGTTCAGCTCTTTCAGGAGAGGGGTGCTTTGACTTTTCATATTTGTAATCTTTTTGAAATATTAAGCTATTTGCAATTTTTTTTTAATGGGATCTCTATGGAGAAAATCTTCAAATCCTGTTAAACTTCTTCAACTTTCAAAGCCTTCTTCTCATACTTTCAGCTACAGACACCATAATTAGACATTTCAAGTAGAAGGGTTTTCAGCAGTGCAGTTTAAATGCTTTCAGGCTTCAACATTTTTCAGACAGGTAGTCTCCCATTTCTTAATTTTCAGCAATTCTTTTACAATTAATTTCATCTTTCAGCATTCCAATGCATTTTCAGCAGGAAATGCATTTTCTAGTTATATTAGTGGTCTGTTTAGTTTCATTCCATTCAAGTAGAGTTCTCCTGAAACAAAGAGAAACAGAACTAAAAGAGGTGAACCAACATAACATCTCCTTTTACAGTCAAATTAAATAATCTGTGATGGTTATTGTTCTCGGTAATAAAGGGGTACTTCACTAATTCCTCACTTAAAAGCTTCACTGGTCATAACAGGGTTCAACGTTAATGTTTTTGTTTTTTTAATCACTTGCCCCCATATAACTTGTTTCATTTATTTAATCTTTGTTGTTATCAAATACTAACAAAGACCAAAGTCAGGAAATGACTACATTATGGGAAATGTAGGATCCATTTTTTTTCATTTATTATTATTATCTTTTAATCTCCTCTTGTGAGTCCCCCAACTTTATGGATTTGAAAAAGAATAGCTGGAGTGCCCCTTTAATCTCCAAAAGCCTCTGAACAATACAGTATTGTAACGAAATCTAACGACATGCTCATACTTCTAATGTGCTTTCTAATGTGCTACCAACTTATTGCAATTGAAGGGAGGCCAGATGTCGGGTAAACCTTGTGGTATTTTAACGTT